TGTTGGGCGAGAGGTGGCACTACAGTACATGCAGTACAATACAGTATAATACTGTACAAAACAGTACAATACAGTACAATGCAGTACAATACAGTACAATGCAGTACAATACAGTACAATACAGTACAATACAGTACAATGCAGTACAATACAGTATAATACTGTACAGAACAGTACAATACAGTACAATACAGTATAATGCAGTACAATGCAGTACAATACAGTACAATACAGTACAATACAGTACAATACAGTATAATACTGTACAAAACAGTACAATACAGTACAATACAGTATAATGCAGTACAATGCAGTACAACATAGAACACTGCAGTACAATGCAGTACAATACAGTATAATGCAGTACTATACATTGAGGTGCAGTACAATGTAGTACAGTGCAGTACAATACAGTACAAGGCAGTACAAGACAGTACAATACAGTACATGCTGTACAATACAGTGCAGTACAATACAGTGCAACACAGTACAGTACAATACAGTACAATACAGTACACTACAGTACACTACAGTACATGACAGTACAATATAGTGCATAACAGTACAATACAGTACAATACAAGTACAACACAGTACAGTACAGTAAAATGCAGTACAATGCAGTACAACACATTACAATACAATGCAACACAGCACAATGCAATATAATACAGTACAATACAGTACTATTATCATTAATAAATTATTATCATTTTTTATTATTATCATTATTATTATAATTAGAGGAGCGAGCAATTTGGTATAGAAGTGATACAAGAAAGAGAATGTGTATTGAATGGTCGGAAAATGATGTTCCAGATAAATAGGGCAGGGTGGCCCAACAGTTACAGATAAATAGGGCAGGGTGGCCCAGCGGTTCCAGATAAGTAGGGCAGGGTGGCCCAGCGGTTCCAGATAAATAGGGCAGGGTGGCCCAGCGGTTCCAGATAAATAGGGCAGGGTGGCCCAGCGGTTCCAGATAAATAGGGCACGGTGGCCCAGCTATTACAGATCAGAGCACCGAGATTGGAGGGTGGGTTCGGTCCCAGCTTCCTTTGATGTTCTGGCCAAAATTAGCGCCCTGGGTACTTAAGAATATCAAAATTGGAGCAGTGCGTTGCTGGCTCGAAACCTAAGCAAAATGTATGAATTCTGCTCTGTCAAGAACCGGCGACAGTCTAAATTTGACCTATTCAATGCTGACACCGCTATTATTATTATTAGTATTTCGGGTGGATAGTTCCAAATCGAGGATTGTTTCTGTCTCAGTTATTTGCTTATACGTCTGAAATATACGCGTGTTTCGTATAGTACTTATACATGAATTTTTTTGTATTTACAACCAATTGAATGTTGAATTAATCCGTTATTGACTAATCTATTAAATGTCTTCTGAACAAGTTGTTTATTAATTAATCGAATTTCAAACGAAACAGTTATTTAGGCAACAATAGGTTTTAAACTGGGCAAGTTATTTACTAATCAATTGAATGTAAACTTGGCAAGTCATAAGAGTATTCTTAAATTATTCCCTCTTGATCATCATATCAGTTTTATCCATTACTGGATGCTTGTCTGTGCCATGCCGTGGCCTGATGTGTGGAGTATTTCTTATATTATTTTTACACAGCATTTATACACTCAGTCTGCTTTAATGTTGAGTGAACGCTTTAATTGAGATTCACTTACTGATTTTTAAAGCATATTCATGAGATGAACCATGCAAGTTAACGGTAATTACGTACTATAATAGGGAATGGTTATATTGGTGGACCACATTAGGTAATGGTAAGTAATGGTAATGTGATGGCGGGCATTGTGCCCAGACGCTGCGTGACGGTCTGGCCACGCTCTGATTAACAGTGCATTGTCATGCGCACCACCGCGCACCACCGTGCGCCCGCACACTGCCATGCAATACAGTGCACTGTCATGTACAACAGTTTACCACAGTGCACCACAGTGCACCACAGTGCGCTACGTCCACAGTGCTACGTCCCAAACAAGTACCAAGATTACCAAGATTAGTGCGCCACAGCGCACCACAGTGCACCACAGCGCACCACAGTGCATCATCATACACCTCGCTGTGAACCGTAGTGCAGCGTTCAACACAGTGTAACATGCACTGACATGCAGTGTGCACTGTCGTGCACCACACACGAAAAAATGCTGCAAAAAGTTCTAAAACATTCGAAAGAATTAATTGCCTCTGAAGGCACTGAGAGAAAATGTGACAGGAAGTTCTTAAACATTCGGAAGAATTAATGCTCCTCGGAGGGCATTGAGAGAAAATGTTGCAAGAAGTTCACAATCATTCAGACAAATTAATTAATGTTTAGGAAGATTTTAAACATTCAGAAGAATTAATGTTCCTCGGAGAACATTGAAAGAAAATGCTGCAAGAAGTTCTCAAACATTCAGATGAATTAATTAATGTTTAAGAAGTTCTTAAAAATTCAGAAGAAATAATGTTCCTCGGAGGACATTGAGAGAAAATGCTGCAAGAAGTTCTTAAACATTCGGAAGAATTAATGTTCCCCGGAGAACACTCCACTTATTAAACTAATCCGAGTGGCAGTTGTGACCTGAAGGCCGCTGCAGGGCTCGTAGACGGGGCACTGCCCGCGGGTATATAAGCTAGCGCTTGAGTGCCATCCTCTCCATTACCCGAGAGGCAGCGGTCGGGGGTGCTGCCCCTCTTATAATTCCTATTTAGCAGCAATAATTCAAATTCAATATCACTCTTTTTATTACTATTTAAGCTTGTGTGCAGCTCCTCTTGTAATTTCTCTTTAGCAGCAATAATTCAAATTCAATATCAGTCGTTTTATTGTTATTGAAGTTTGTGATTGTTGAGAATCAACGAGGAAAAAAACAGATAATAACAAAGTTAATAGAGACTATAAGTAATTGAACTTGCCAAGAAATTCTGAATTTAAAATTATTTATAATAGAAAATATTGGTCCTTTAGCGCAATGAGATTTCGTGACATCATTCAGAAAATATAATTATACGATATCATGTATAATATATAATAAATGTATTCAATTATAAGGCATAATTATTAGACATATAAAAGATATAAGAAGTTAAATAAATAAATGTTCATTAGACTCATTGTATGATTTAAGCTCTATAGTATTCTGGTGATGCTCCTTCCGTTGATAAATACTAATATTTTAAATACTCGCTAATAATTAATTATATTACCATTCAGTTTGTTTTTATGGAGTAAATTCTCATTTTAAGTCCTGAATTATCGATTCAAGATTTGTCTTGATGAATATCGTAACTATCTCATTTCCATATAAAATTATGAACTGACTTGTTCATAAAAATAAAATTTTTTATTTTAATTTATCCATCGCAATCATGCTTGACATCATTGAATTATTAACTAAATATTTAAGTCTTTAGTTACGACATAAGATAATAATTCAGTTCCAAGGCATTGGATAATCAGTTATTCTAGTCTAATAGCTATAATCAATATTTTAACAATTATAAGCTGCAGCATTTCTCGATTTAAAAGTCATTTATTATCCAAATAATTCGTAAATGGTTTTCACATGTTTCATTAAATCCTAAACAAGGCAATTCCTTAAAGAAATTCATATTTATATATTATTTTTTTAAGAATCTCTTGCGGAATGAATAATTTATTCCATATGTTTTCGTAAAATACTTTGTTGGTAAGAGAAGCATATTATATAATCTATTTCTCAAAAGCAACTCAACAGCACGCACTTCTAAGGGTCGTAAACTGAACAGCGGGTGAGTTCAAGTCTAGCTTTAACTTGAACACTTCAAGTGAGTTTAAGTTGAACTGTAACTTGAGCATTACAGGGGAGTTCAAGTTGAACTTTACATTGAGCACAGCAGGTGAGTTTAAGTCTAACTTGAAATTTAACAAAACAGGCGAGTTCAAAACTGTAACTTGAACACTACAGGTGAATTCAATTTAAACTTTAACTTGAGCACGGCAGGTAAGTTTAAATGTAACTTGAAATTGAACACCGCAGTCGTGTTCAAATTTGAACTGTAACTTTAACACTACAGGTGAGTTAATGTTGATCTTCAAATTGAGCATTGCAGGTGAATTCAACTACAATTTTAAATTGAACACAAGAGGCGAGTTCAAGTGTAACTTTAACTTTAATGCAACTAGTGAGCTCATGTCCAATTTTACTTGAAAACAACAGATGAGTTAAAGCCTAATTTGAAATTGAGCATCACAACTTGTGAACTTCATTCATTGAAGATGGCTTCGTAACTGTCAATTTTGAAATAAACTATTCATTTTGTTTCTTCCAAGTAATTTCAATCATCAGCAAGTTTGGGTTGAGTAAACAATCGTCAATCAACTTCATCTATGTTCATATTGCTGTTGAAATATGTTCTTTGTGCAATGTACTTAATTGATCAAGCATTGGCTTATGCCATGTCGATGATTCGCATTATGCTGCTATCTAGCTCTCATTTCATTTAAATCTGCCAAGACACGCCTTCAATTCTTGAAAAGGTTCAATTTCAACAGATGGCGTAAGATTGTGAGATACAAGACAATTAACGACTGCAAGGCTATTGCTTCAGTTACGGTGGTTGATGCACGCTTCTCAAATATAAAAAAGAATGCACTTTTAAATTATAACGTTGAGTTTATTTGGGTACAAGCTAAATTAGGTTTTTAGTTATCCCATCACTAATAATAAAAGTACTGAGTGAATAAAAGTATTGTTTCCAATCGAGCTGAGTTTTCTGTTGTGTTACCAAAATAATAGCTTATGCAGTTGTATTGTGTCAGCGTAAAATGTGCGTACTTGTGTGGTAACTTTGAAATTTTAAAGGCGCAGATGATACAAATTTAATAACAAATCTATAGATAATTATGAAAATGTGAAGAAAATACTAATAACTTTGTGTTCTCCGGCAGGGTTCCCATTGGCCAGCAGTCATGAAAATTTCATTGGTCATGGTATGCTTCTTTGGATTAGTCATGGGACAATTCAAGTCCCACCACACATCTTTTGGATCTCCGTTTGCGGTACCTGGCCATGGCACGTCAACTTTGTTATCACCAGCAGGTGCCAACAGTTTGTCTTCAGTCCTGTCTGCTCTCGGCATCGCTCCTTCGTCAGCCCCAACAATATCGCAAACTCATACAAGGTCACAAGGAGGTAGTTCGTTCCCCGAGAGTAGGACCTCTGGGAACCTAATCAGGAGACAATCGACATCCACTGGCCCGTCGCCGATTGACTCCGTTTTCGGTAGTGAAGTGAACTCCCCAGTTTTTTCGAACTCTCTTTCTAGGATTGAACCTCTTCCTAACCGACAAAATGTACAGAACCCCCAAGCTGTTTCTCTTGATCCATTAAGTGTAAGTTTACTGAATAATCTTGTTACTGAACTACTCAATCCCAGCGCTTCTTCTCCTTTCAGTAGCGCAGCTGGACAAACACCCTTTATTGTCGTGCTGCCTGAAACTGGGCCACAAGGAAATCAGTCACCGGGTGCATTATTGAATCCAGATCCTTCACTAGGAGCTACGAGACAGCCTGAAACAGTTAACTCATTTATTTCAGAGCTGTCAGCGCTGCTTCGAAATGGCGGTTTAAGTTCTAATTTGCAAGGCGAAACAGGAACTGGAACAGGAGGTATACCACAGGTCATCACTATACCTCCATCCCATGGAGCCAATGCCGCTCTATCATCTTTGGCTGCAATTCCTAACGAAGCCCCGGTCTTAATCCTGCTCGACCCAAACACTTTCCAAAGTGCACCCGCTGCTAGTAGTTCGGGAGCATCAACTGGATCAACAGGAAATAACAACTTAAGAACTGGAGGTGGTAACAACCTTAGCACTCTTGAGCTACTTACAGCCTTGGCGCAGTCTTTCCCAACGACTGCAGCAACAAATCAAGCAAGTCGGGCTAACCAGCTAGGATTAAACAACAATATTCCTTCGACTCAGACTTCTGCTGGGGTTATTAATCTTCCTCCTTTCCCTGGATTGCGGAATGTGCCAGTAAATACTCCAGTAACCGTTAGAACTCCAGTAACAACTGCACCTGCATCTGTAAATTCTGCCGGACCAAGTAATGCAGGAACAGCAGCAGCAGGTAGTGCATCATCAACTGGTTCTTCAGTTGGTTCTTTTGGTGGACCTTCCTCCCAAGGAGATGCAGCCGGTGTTTCTCCTGTTGCAGCCACAGGTACTGGGGCTACTTCAACAAGGACTGGTGGTATATCAAGAGCTACTGGGAGTGCGCATACGGGTACGGCTGATGCAACGCCAACTGGCGGAACTAGGGGTACGTCCAGTGATGGTACTAGTGCCTCTAGAGGTACGAGGAAGATGTTGGTACCGGTGGTATCTGGGGGAGCGAACGGGGGAGTCTACATGTACTCTTTCACCATCGAGTCACCCGACGGCATCACGAGGCATGAGGCGGGTGAAGTTACGCCCGGGTTACGGAAAATTTCGAGGACTCTAGCACCAGCTGCTGCAAGTGCAGGTGGTGCTGGCGCCGCAAGTGGTGCTGGCGCTGCAAGTGGTGCTGGCGCTGCAGGAGGTTCTGGCGCTGCAGGTGGTTCTGCTGCAGCAGGTGCTGCCGATGAAGCAGGTGGTGGTGGCGTTACAGGTGGTGCCGAGGCAGCTGGTGGTGCCGTAGCGGCAGGTGGTACTGGAGCGGCAAGTGGAGCGGGTACTGCAAGGGCTGCTGGTGCAACGAGGAAAATTGGAGCTCCAAGGAGCGGCGCTCCAGTTGCTCCAAGCGGCGGTGACGCGGCGGCTCCGACAGATCTCGGGAATTTTGCAGGCAACCACTCGTGAGTGAGATGGATAGCTTCTTAATTGTCACGCCTGTCCTTGGGTATCAATGACATCTCTTGAATCACAATCTGATCATTCAACCACCTTAATTACGTCTATAACAATACCACTACACATTCATGACACAACCACCACATTTTAGTGATATAACCTCCACACATACATCACACGACTCCACACATTCATGACATAACCACCACCAGTAGATGCACTACATGACCACCACTCATTCATCACACAAGCACCAATCTTTCATCTTACAACCACCACTCATTCATGTCGAAACAATCGCCCATTCATGTCGCACTAAGTGTGATGTGGTGTTCATTAATTTGTGGTGTTCATAAGCCAATTGGATTTTCGGATTGTACCAATATTCGAACTATATACATGTGCTCTTTCCGTATTTAAGCTCGTACCAGTAACCTCGTCATTTCTTCAACAAAATTTGGGTAACGCCTACGTATATATGCTTCTGATCTGGAGCAGTTACACTCGGCTTTGAGTTATTCCGAGTCAGTTCGGATCGAAATCAACCCGATCCAACCAGCTCCTGGTCAGCCCGACCAGCTTCTGGTCGAAACCCGAGTCAACCCGAAACCCAGTCAACCCGATCGATATTAGCTTCTGGTCAGAATCTCCTTTTGACTTTATTGTGTAGTGAGAGTTTGACAAGGGTCGGCCGAAGCCGAGTCATACAGAGATGGCAAGCTGTTAAAACCCTGCACTTCTAGCTCAGATGCAGTGAACGTAGAGCGGCTGATTTAAGTCACCCCCCGAGTCCTAGGCAGAGTCGAGCCAGCATACAATTTTTGTAATTTTTAAAGATACTTCTCAACGTTCCCGTAATACCTTATTATCACGTGTACTCTATTCATGTACAATTAAGTAACGCCACTATTTACAGGTACTTCGACCACGATGGGAGGGTGTTGAAAGTCCACTACACCCACGGCCCCCCTTCCTTCATCCCGCCGCCGCTGCCCAACCATCTATTCCCCAGCACCCAACATCCCTTCGACTTCCTCCTCACAAGGCTTAACGACCTTAGGGTGCACCACCAACCTGCTGCACCTGCTGCATCTGCTGCACCTGCAGCACCTGCTGCACCTGCTGCATTTGCAGCACCTGCTGCACCTGCACCTTCCGCACCTGCTGCACCTGAAAATACGGCTACTTCGCCCCGGTAGAACCTGCGCAAAAATAATGAAGCCAAAAATAGTTGTGCGCGTAGAATTTAATAGTAGCAGCATAACTCGACGCACTGTCAGATGCACCAGTAAATGCACTAGCTCACTAGTTCACGTACCAGTAGATGCACTAGCTCAGTAGTTCTTGCACCAGTAGATGCACTAGCTAAATGATTCATGCACCAGTAGATGCACTAGCTCAATAATTCATGCACCAGTATATGATGCACTAGCTCAGTAGTTCATGCACCAGTAGATGCACTAGCACAGTAGTTCATGCACCAGTAGATGCACTAGCTCAGTAATTCACGCACCAGTAGAGGCACTAGCACAGTAGTTCATGCACCAGTAGGTGCACTAGCTCAGTAGTTCATGCACCAGTAGGTGCACTAGCTCAATAGTTCATGCACCAGTAGGTGCACTAGCTCAATAGTTCATGCTATTCAATAGTTCACTAGATGCACTAGCTCAACTGTTCACGCACCAGTAGATGCACTAGCTCAGTAATTCATGCACCAGTAGATGCACTAGCTCAATAATTCATGCACCAGCTAGTAGATGCACTATTTAGACTCGTACACGTGATATTAGATGCACAACTGATGCACCATTGATGCCTATACAAATGCACCACTATAGATGTGCGTATTCTAAGCAGTCTAGATAAAGTATTTAACAGTTCAGGTTACAAAATCTGTTTAGCATTCACCTTGCAATGCGTGAATGTGCGGCCGAAATTTACAAAACTCGCATAATGCAAAATTACGTTCATCGCAGAACAATCGATCATCGCAGAACTATCGATCATCGCAGAACTGTCGATCATCGCAGAACTATCGATCATCGCGGAACTATCGATCATCGCAGACCTATCGATCATCGCAGAACTATCGATCATCGCAGAACTATCGATCATAGCAGAACTATCGATCATCGCAGAACTACTATCGATCATTGCAGAACTACCAATCATCGCATAACTACCAATCATCGCAGAACTATCGATCATCGCAGAACTACCGATAATCGCAGAACTATCGATCTTCGCAGAACTATCGATCATAGCAGAACTACTATCGATCATCGCAGAACTATCGATCATCGCAGAACTACCGATCATTGCAGAACTACTATCGATCATTGCAGAACTACCAATCATCGCAGAACTATCGATCATCGCGGAACTACCGATCATCGCAGAACTACTATCGATCATCGCAGAACTATCGATCATCGCAGAACTACCGATCATCGCAGAACTACTATCGATCATTGCAGAACTATCGATCATCGTAGAACTACCGATCATCGCAGAACTACTATCGATCATTGCAGAACTATCGATCATCGCGGAACTATCGATCATCGCGGACTTCACGCTATCGTGAGATTCGTTCTTAATTCCTACAAAAAAGTTAGTCTGAAATCGAATGCTGCTACCGAAATCTTGTGTTCACCGCAATAAAACTTTTGACGTTATTTGGTTGAAATTTGTTGACCTGTTTTTTTAGATTATTTTTTGTGGAGCGCATTTTATAACAGAACAAAATTTTTCGTGAAGTTCAAGCAATGAGTTTCACATTAATAGTAATTATTACTTATTTATTGAATATTTAGTTCTCGCTGGATTAAGTTTTGCCACTTGTTACGACCTTTGCAAGTGGTTGAACGCTTTCACGTGGTTAAATTTCATTTGAATTTTAAACCGGTTATTCTCTTGAGACAGATTTTATGTCGTGTCAATTTTAGGCGCTATTTCACTTAGAAGATGGGCCCCCATATTACTCGTTTCAAAATCTATAAAAATATGATAATTCTTGCGTCTTTCAAATTAAAAGTATAATTAAAAAATTAATGAGCTACTAGCTGAACATATTGGCGCTGTCTACCATCCATCTTTTTTGGGATACTGCATTCGGGAAACGATTTTCTATTACCAATTGAATAAGAAAATTAGCCATTGGTGAATTGAAATGCGCACGACAGATCTAATTAATGAGTTATTCGAATTCAATTTTTTTTTGTAAAATTATGCATTAGGCATCCGCAAACAACAGTACTTCCAAGGGATTAATTATCATATTTCGAAAATTATTCCAATTTGACGGATAAAGCTGCGGTATCAACAATACCAAGGAGTATATCCGTCCGACTTTCGGTACAGTTCTACACTCTACTTCTAAATTCTACTTCTTATTCTGAAACTGAAAAGCATGCACAAAATGCACAGAGCAGTCCTCCTGAGGATATATGTGCTGAAGCAAAAACTGAATAAAACAAAATTAAAAATGCCCGTTTCAACAGGATTAAGAAAGGAGATAAGGGGTACAAATAGGAACTTGAATGCATTGTAAGGTAGACAGTTAAGAGGGTAACGAAGATAACTAAAATGTTAAAATGTTTTTCTAACATTTTATCTTTACGTGCCATTCCTTCCCGAATGCTGCAGCACCTTTTCTGTTATTTGAACCAATCAGTTCAGCGTTGCAGAATAGAAAGCTATACTTTTGCGATAGTTGAGCTAAAATTATCAGTGAATCAATGTGTTATCATCAACGATAACACATTGTGATAACACTATGCTGGTGCCATTCCATCTAGCATTTGGTTCCTCATGCTCCATGCAAGGCTTTCTCTTACCGGCAAAATAACCTAAAAATGTGCAAAAAAATACTCACTATCGACGCCATCGTCATTGTTCGACATGACATGATCACTAAATAATTTCTCGACAGGAGTTTGAAAAAATTAAATTGCTTTCAAAAGTAATCTGGAAGAACAGTCCTCGGCTTCAACTGTCTCTATATATGATGCGCTGTAATTGTACTTGTTCCCTCAGAAATTTTATATGATATGATAGTATTTTCAATTTCAGTTATTATATACGCCCCTGTGAATTTTGTAGGTAATTCATATATCGCAGCTATTTTATTAATTTTATAGGTGTCATCCAAGCTGAATAATGCAACGTACTGTTGTATAAAATTACGTTTTCATCAATAATTCATCTTGTGACACCCGATTTCCACACACAACATATTTTACAATCTCTGGTATTGTCCTGATGGGAGAAACAGAGTCGTAAATGACAGGAGGAAACAGGGTCGGAAATGACGGGATGAAACAGGGTCGGAAATGACGGGATGAAACAGGGTCAGAAATGACGGGATGAAACAGAGTCGGAAATGACAGGAGGAAACAGGGTCGGAAATGACGGGAGGAAACAGAGTCGGAAATGACAGGAGGAAACAGGGTCGGAAATGGCGGGAGGAAACAGGGTCGATAATGACGGGAGGAAACAGAGTCGGAAATGACAGGAGGAAACAGGGTCGGAAATGACGGGATGAAACCTGTCTCTTATACACATCTAGATGTGTATAAGAGACAGGAAACAGAGTCGGAAATGACAGGAGGAAACAGGGTCGGAAATGACGGGATGAAACAGAGTCGCAAATGACGGGAGGAAACAGAGTCGCAAATGACGGGAGGAAACAGGGTCGGAAATGACGGGATGAAACAGAGTCGCAAATGACGGGAGGAAACAGGGTCGGAAATGATGGGATGAAACAGTGTCGGAAATGACGGGAGGAAACAGGGTCGGAAATGACAGGAGGAAACAGGGTAGCAAATGACGGGATGAAACGGAGTCGCAAATGACGGGAGGAAACAGGGTCGGAAATGACGGGATGAAACAGAGTCGCAAATGACGGGAGGAAACAGAGTCGGAAATGACACGGGAGGAAACAGGGTCGGAAATGACGGGAGGAAACAGGGTCGGAAATGACGGGAGGAAACAGGGTCGGAAATGACGGGAGGAAACAGGGTCGGCGATGATGGAGAGGAAACAGGAACAGCGATGGCGTTGAGCTGTTCGGTCAAGGCGAGGCGCTGGAAGGCTTGTCCAATAAATTTATTTTATTCTGAATTTCCAGTCGGAAAAGTTCTCCGAGTTTCTCGTGCCCTTTTACGGATTTAAATGAAATCCTAGCGATTAATTGTTAATTGTTATTAGGCATCAGATTTTTAATTCCTGTTCAATGTCCATGCACAATTCCTCCTGCATGATGACATTGTATAGTAACTTTTTTTTACATAAGTTTAAGCTGAGTTACTGGATTGTTAACAAATAAATGCAGAATACCAAGCCCATTGGGAGTAAGAATTAGTGCAGTTTACCCGCAAGGTTGAACGGAAGAGTCGGAATCAATATGTGCAGAATCGAGAGAATTGTATAGTTGAATAATTGCATAAGTAAAGTCTAAGAAAATGCCTCATTGATTGCGTGAGAAACTTCATAACAATTTGAGTACTATGATGTGAATAGGATGAAATTCATGCAATTTGCCCAGCAATTTCAAATTGAAGATCTACTTTATAAAACCTGCTCCGGAAATCCTACTAAAATTATTCTAAATCGAGAATAATGCTCTTGGAACCTTGGAAAAAATAATTTTGTAACAAAAATCTGGCCATCAGAAGTTCGTAGAAAGAATCCCGCTCAAGTATCCTGAAAATTAATCCAATCCTGCTCAAGTATCCTGGAAATTCTAGCGCGGAAGGATCTCCTCTAGAAAGGTTGAACTCAACCATGCCCCACTGCACTTATAGGTATGACCTCCGTGGCCTTTGCCGTGCAACCTGCACCCCTTGCCGTGCAACCTAGCTGCACCCCTTGCTGTGCAACCTGCACCCCTTGCCGTGCAACCTGCACCCCTTGCCGTGCAACCTGCACCCCTTGCCATGCAACCTGCACCCCTTGCCGTGCAACCTGCACCCCTTGCCATGCAACCTGCCTCTACAGGTCATTCTGTAACCTGCTAACAGGTTCCATGGTCCGGTGAGAGGTGAACTGAATTAATTAACTTTTGTCCTACACAGTTTTGTGTGTGACGCACAGCCATTCCTGTCCACGATGTACAGCCATTCCTGTCCACGATGTACAGCCATTCCTGTCCACGATGTACAGCCATTCCTGTCCACGATGTACAGCCATCCCTTACGCAATGCACCCTTTATCTAATTAGTGTTTTTTCTGTCTCTTTTGCTCATTTTTAACAGGTTATGTGCGACACGACTAACCATGTGGTTTTCAGGTTCTTTTTTTCGGATCGATATCGCGTTTTTTTTTTCCAATTGCATTGGCCGATAAAAATTTATGATGGCATTACTACCTCAATAAATAATAAAGAGTACGAAAAAATAAAATTAAATTTATGCACCGGTACCTACAAATTTACTGGTATACTGTATTTTGAATTATAGGCTTTTTTGTCCGTGGACTTGGCCGTTTTTAGGCCATCTGACAGTCCTGGTGGGTTGTGCCACACTTAAAGTGCTAAACTTTTTCTTAATTTAATTTCTTAAACGCACTTCGGCCCACGAAGTTGTGTAGTACAAGACGCCACGATATTCTCTTTGTAGAATAAATAGATAAATGAATAGTTCAAACGAACTGACTATTATAAGGTGTAGAGCTCAGGCAGGAACAGCACTGCGCCACTCACCATGCGAGGCTGCACCCACATTTCCCTGGCATGTCTTTGTCTTTATCAAGACTGAAACTTAAAAATATTTCAAGGAATTTGTTGAGAAAAGATTAAAGGTTTTTCTGGGAAGAATATTGTCGGTTTGATCGTCCGTTGTTCAGGGGGCGTGGTGGACGAAAAGTTCTACGTTCTCCACTCAGTCCACTGGACGTTCGAAAAGTTGTAAGTTCTCCAATAGATGGAACGGGGACACAGATGCCAACAGGTTTGTGGGTGGGGGGTTAAAGCGCAGTATTGGTCCTCAAATTTAACTCTTAAATAAGGCGAGATAACGCCTAGCCTATGCATGCATTAACTATACTCAGCCTCAGAGCAAATAGACTCAGACTACGCTGGCTCACCATAGTCTAGATCTGTGACACACTGCCTAACGATAATAG